TGGAAGGCTGAGTCAACCTTGAGCTAGTGAGATTCAAACTGCCAAACTTCTGGCAACCGACAGTCAGCAGAAGTGATTTGCAGTACTGCATTCTAACTACTGCACCACTACAGCTCTTGATACTATTCCACCATTTCTTTGATATTAGTATAAACCTTATTCCACAGCAAGTTGCCCCATGACAAGCTGCCCATGGTGAGTTGGCCATGGCGAGTTGGTTGTGGCGAATTGTCATAGACCTGATTGCTTGTGCAGGGGTATTTTGAGCCTGAGTTCATGTTCAGTTGTCCCTTATCCCTGATATATTTGCAGGTAAAAATTGCTAAATCCTATGCCATTGACTGATTTAGGAAAAAAAAAAACCAGTGGCCATTATTGACAAAATAATACTGATGGTATTCTTGCCTTCCAGTTAGGCAGGTAGGCAGTTGAATAGACCTATCCTAATACTTCACTTTCAAGCCAATACAAAATTCAAAACTTTAACTTATCTGTTACAGTTTTCACTTTTCTAAATTGATGCTGCCATCCTCAAATTCAAGGCATATCTTTTTTCATAGGACTGTTCAAAGCACAAGAAAAGTAACAGTTGCTTTAAGGGAGCTGCCAAGAGGTATGGCATGACCACTCTTAAACTGCTTCAAGTCCATATCTCAGCACAACCACAGAAAATCATTTGCAAGAAAGATGTAGTTGGAGGCAAAATTGTATAAAATAAGTCCATTAGAAGAGATGAGAAAAAGATGCAAATAACTTGTCTGAAGAAAATTCAAATTGAGCCAGAAACATGTTAAATGGTAAACAGGCTTTGACATCAGAAAAAAAATAGAAACTTAGTAATGTATAACCAATGCATTTTTATTTCTTAGCTAACATCGAATGCAAACACTGGAACAGATTTTTAATTAAATGTTTATTCCTTATTATACAGATATACTCATATTTTTGGAAAGGTATATTATAAATCACACTGGAATAGTTTATATTATGTTTTCTTACTGATATATCTGATTGGGCAGATATCTGCATTTATATTTATGTGTATTCAAATCATCCCATCCCTTGCAACGAAGGGAATTTATTCCCAGAACATCTAAGGGGAAAACAAATTTTTTCTTCCTTTTCTTTGAAATCTGAATCTTTCAAAGAGTTTAGATATGGTTCACAATTCAAAGGGAAAGAAAACCCTAAGAAGCAAATTAAGATACATATATTGAGGAAAAATTGTGCAGGACAATGTATGTAAAAATTTGTACAGATTGTCTTTCTCTTATTTTTAACTCATAAATTGATGTAAAAAGGAAACTGAGCTGAACTCAAGACAATTAAAATTGGCTCCATTCGTGACATTATGGAAGAGGGAAGCCACAAAGACATTTAATTTCAGAAATCAGCTGTTTTATGAAATCTTCTCTCATCCCCTCCATTAATCAAGGACTGTTGGCAGAATTTGCTTATTATGATTTATAATATACAGGTCCATTTTTATTCCTTCGGTCCATTTCTCAGTTATTCAATAACACTAGTTATATTTGGGTAACCTTCAAAATAGCAACAGAATGAAGAAGACACTGATCAAGCTTTCTGGGTTTCATCACTGCCCTGCTGGGGACACTTTACTCATCACACAGTATGCTGAGCCTGCAGCAGTAGTATGGTAGGAAAGGACGACTTGTCTTTCAATAAACCTTATAGCTATTATTGACCTTTCCATTAAGAACTTCTGAAAAGTTTCAAAATAAATTATCTGGATTTTATTGGGAAGACTGAAGTAGGACTAGGAGATAACTCCTATTACCAATCAATAGTATTCGAGATATGTAGAATTTAATGTAATGTATTTATTTATTTAAATAAAAATTATTTAAATAAATTTATGTACACTGCTCAAAAAAAATAAAGGGAACACAAAAATAAGACATCCTAGATCTAAATGAAAGAAATATTCTTATTAAATACTTTGTTTATTACATAGTTGAATGTGCTGACAACAAAATCACACAAAAAATATCAGTGGAAATCAAATTTAGCAACCCATGGAGGTCTGGATTTGGAGTTACATTCAAAATTAAAGTGGAAAAAAAACACTACAGGCTGATCCAACTTTGATGTAATGTCCTTAAAACAAGTCAAAATGAGGCTCAGTAATGTATGTGGCCTCCACATGCTTGTATGACCTCCCTACAACCCCTGGGCATGCTCATGATGAGGTGGCGGATGGTCTCCTAAGGGATCTCCTCCCACACCTGGACTAAAGCATTCTCCAACTCCTGGACAGTCCCAGATGTGCTCAATTGGATTCAGGTCTGGGGAACAGGCGGGCCAGTCCATAGCATCAATGCCTTTGTCTTGCAGGAACTGCTGACACACTCCAGCCACATGAGGTCTAGCATTGTCATGCATTAGGAGGAACCCAGGGCCAACCGCACCAGCATATGGTCTCACAAGGGGTCTGAGGATCTCATCTCGGTACCTAATGGCAGTCAGGCTACCTCTGGCGAGCACATGGAGGGCTGTGTGGCCCCCTAAAGAAATGCCACCCCACACCATTACTGACCCACTGCCAAACTGGTCATGCTGGAGGATGTTGCAGGCAGCAGAACATTTCCACGGCATCTCCAGACCCTGTTACATCTGTCATGTGCTCACTGTGAACCTGCTTTCATTTGTGAAGAACACAGGGCACCAGTAGTGAATTTGCCAATTTGGGTGTTTTCCTGCAAATGCCAAAAGTCCTGCACGATGTTGGGCTGCAAGCACAACCTCCACCTGTGGACGTTGGGCCCTCATACCACCCTCATGGAGTCTGTTTCTGACCGTTTGAGCAGCTATATGCACATCTGTGACCCACTGGAGGTCATTTTGCAGGGCTATGGCAGTGCTTCTTCTGTCCCTCCTTGCACAAAGGTGGAGGTAGCAGTCCTGATGCTGGGTTGTTGCCCTCCTACAGCCTCCTCCACATCTCCTGATGTACTGGCCTGTCTCCTGGTAGCGCCTCCATGCTCTGGACACTATGCTGACAGACACAGCAAATCTTCTTGCCACAGCTCACATTGATGTGCCATCCTGGATGAGCTGCATTACCTGAGCCACTTGTGTGGGTTGTAGACTCCGTCTCATGCTACCACTAGAGTGAAAGCACTGCCAGCATTCAAAAGTGACCAAACCATCAGCCAGAAAGCATAGGAACTGAGAAGTGGTCTGTGGTCACCACCTGCAGAACCACTCCTTTATTGGCGATGTCTTGCTAACTGCCTCTGCTTTCCACCTGTTGTCTATTCCATTTGCACAACAGCATGTGAAAATGATTGTCAATCAGTGTTGCTACCTAAGTGGACAGTTTGATTTCACAGAAGTGTGATTGACTTGGAGTTACATTGTGTTGTTTAAGTGTTCCCTTTATTTTTTTGAGCAGTGTATTTATTAATGCAGAACACTTTGTATTTAAAAACAAACTCTCAGAATGACTCATAAGTATCAAAACAAATCCAGTGGCCCTAAGTGAACTTAGTAGTAGCAAAATTAAAATAAAACACCAAAAAGTAGAACAGAATTTTGGATTGGTCTATAATATATCCTAAAAACCAGTCTTCAATCTTTGAAAAGAGTATGTTTTTTCACTGATTGAGAAGGCAAGGTTTAAAGAGTTTTTAAATAATGATCTCCAGATAGCTTGTTTTATATTGAGAAAAATAATTTAATCTATAGAGCTTGTTCTTATTTTAGGTTTGTATATTGTTTTCCTACTTACAATTGTGCCATATTATTTCTCTTCACATACATAAACTGTTTCTAGTGTCAGTGTTCCAATTAAACTCTCCATCAAATTCAAAACTTTGAAACAAAGTCCATCAAAATAAGAATTTATTAGAGAAGTCATGTTGGCACATCTGGGGAAAACCCAAATCTGAATTCCTGCATCTTCCCCTGCCCCATTTAATGACTCCCCAGTCACATTAGCCAATTCACCTCATGTCTCAACTACAAACTCCAGTCATTCACTCCAGCTGCCAGCAACTTGTCCTTGATCTCAGAGGACCTCTCATGGACTATGAATGCTAACATGCTTGTGAAGAAGGCAGAGAAGATGCTGTACTTCCTGAGAATGCTCAGGAAGATAAATCTATCTCAGCATCTACTTCTGTCCTACTACCACAGCATCATCGAAAGTGTCCTGACATACGGCATTCTTGCATGGTATGGGAGCAGCTGTGTAGCGGACAAAAATTACTCTACAGAGAATCGTTAAAACTGCCCAGAATATCATCAGGCTCCAGTTACCAGCCCTGGATGACATCTTTGCATCTTGCTGTTTGAGGAAGTCAGATAACATTCTCAGAGACTCTTCCCATCCTGCTTACAATCTTTATGAACTGTTGCCTTCTGGCAGAAGATACAGGACAATTAAAACTTGGACCACATGTTTTCTGAACAGGTTTTATCCCAGAGCTATAATTGCACTTAACAATGAACTTAAGGATCACCACCAGTGAGCTGTAGGACAGTATTACTTGGTCTGTTGTGTGGATGCTTGTGTGTTTTTAGGGGGCGGGGAATTTGGTGGGTGGGGGTGAGTTTGGGGATTGTTGTGTGTGTGTGCATGTTGGGTCTGGTCTCTGGGTGTTATGTGAATTTTGTTGTATGTGTATACTGTGTATATACGTACAATGACATTAAAGAATCTATCTATCTATCTATCTATCTATCTATCTATCTATCTATCTATCTACTCTATTGCTATCTATTACATCTTTCATCTCTCTATGTATCTATCTATGCATCTATCTATGCATCTATCTATCTATCTATCTATCTATCTATCTATCTATCTATCTATC